TAGTGGGGTGGGGGGAATGGGAGGGAGAGAATGGATTTTTTTTTTAGTTGAAAGACAGTTTTTTAAAAAAGATTTTAAAATAGAGAAATAATTTTCCCATAGCTTTTTATATTCTACCCTCCTTCTACCTTCTTGCCACATAGATCCATTGTGAGAATTTCCCTCCCTAAAACACTTGCTTTCCCTAGAGGAGGAGGGCGGCAGAAGGTGATGGTGAGATAGAAACATAACATCTAGTACCTTAGACCAGAGAGCTCTTGTCACTTTAGTTTGCTTAACATTCCCGACCCTGTGTGGGAGAGCAGCACGAGGAGAGTAAACAGCGGCTTCCTGCAGACTTACCTATTCCCAAAAGCAGTTAGCAGCTCAGACCATCTGGCTACCAGAACCTACTGGTCCTCATTTCAAGAGATCCAATGAGCAAAGCACCTGAGTGTTGCTGTCACGTGAATACACAGCAGCAGCCTCTTGGGTGTAGCTCTTACAGATGGGTCTGATGGTGCCCAGGAATTAGGTCTTTGTCCTTCTGAACAGCAGCCTATGGCTGAGGAGAGAGGAGCAAGACGGGCAGCTAGACAATAGCTCTCCTTGGGAGAAGTTCATCTTCTGAATGCTTCTCAAGTCTTAATCCCTTTCTTCTTCTCATCATGAATAAGGAGGAAGGAGACCCAGGTTCTAGCCCCGATTCTGCTGCTAGCTACCTCACGCTAGTCAGGAAAGAAGGAAGGAAGGAGGGAGGGAAGGAAAAAAGAAGGGAGGGAGGGAGAGAGAGGAAGGGAGGGATGGAAGGAGGGAAGAAAAGAGGGAAGGAAAAAAGGAAAGTTTGTTTATTAATTTAATTTAATCATTTTTAATTTAAAAGTTATTTAAAATTTAAATTTTAAATTTCAAAATTTAACTTAAAAATGCTTATTAAAGCTAAATACTGGGGATACAAATACAGGCAAAAAGGAAAACAGACTCTGGCCTCAAGGGGCTACATTCTGATGGATCTGTTTCCTTCTATGAGTCCTTTTCCTGCACTAAAATGATAGAGGTGGACCACATGCTTCCTCAAGTCCCATCTGTTTCTTCTAACATTCTGTGTCTTAAGGCTCTTTCAATCAATCAGCAGCATGTATTAAGGGCCTAGTGTATGCCGGGCAGTGTTCTAGGCATTGGAGAGACAAAAATAGTCATTAATTTCATTTAACAAATACTAAGTACCTACTGTGTTGAGAAAATTGTGCTTTACTATGAATGAATGAATGAATGAATGAATGAATGAATGAATGAATGAATGAATGAATGAATAAGCATTTACTAGGTGCTTACTATATGTCAGATACCGTGTTTAGTCCTAAAAATAAAAACGCAAGCAAACAAGACATTCTCTGCCCTTAAGGAGTCTACATTCTACTAGGGGGGGACAGTGCATGAAGGGGAAGTAGATTTGGAAAGTGACGGGTGACAAGGGCCTCTCGGAGTGGTGGCAGCATGGTCTGGAAATGGCCAAGAAGTGTCATTGTGTTGTGGTGATGTGGTCTTGTATTGGTAAGAGCAAGGATGTGTCATGGTGGCCTGGTGCCAGGCACAAGCTCACTTAGGGACAGAGTTTGCACCCTATGGAGGAGGAGGAGGAGGAGGAGAGCCAGAGTCCAGATGACATGGTTCTGACCTATGTTTCTCCATCTTAACTCCAAAGAAATCTTCATTCTTTTTTACTACAGAAACTGTGCTTCAGTTTTCTCATCTGTGAAAGGGGAGAGTTGATGACCTTGATGGTTTGGGACCCCTTTCCATGAAGAGCTCTTCGCAGTAGGGGAGGGAGGGTGCTTAGGCAAGGAGGGGGGCCAGGGCAATGCCCTCGATACTGGACAGACAGGGCGAGCTGTTCCATTCCCTCCCTCTGTAGTGCCTGTCCTTCCCATAACTCACCATCTGTCTCCTGCCACCTGGATTCACCTCTGCCAGACTTCACACTTTCGATGGGGGTTCGTAGGGGAGCCAGGGGCGCACTGGAAGTGTTCTGAGAACTCCTTGGAGTTAGAGATGGTGCCAATGACCCGGAAACGGGAGGGGCTGTGGAGCTCTGTGATGAGGCCTTCATGGGAGCTCTCAGGGGTGTGGACTGAGCACCAGACCTGCATTAGAGGGAACAAGGGGGAGAGGTCAAGGTGATTGGAGATGTGGACAGAGTCAGGACAGTGTGCCTTCTTTTCCTGCTCTGGAGTTTCAGGAGGAGGAGGAGAGGCAGAGTGATACAGTGGCAAGATTGGAGCATTTAGAGTTATGGGTCTTGGGTTCAAATCCCGTGGTTGGCAAGCAGTTATTGAACACCTACTATGTGCCAAGCACAAGAGGATTGACTGCAGGAACTGGGGATGTTTAGCCTGGAGAAAAGAAGGCTGAAAGGGGACGCGAGAGTGGTCTTCAAGGACCTCAAGGGCAATCAGGATTTGACTTGTCCTGCTGGGCTCCCAAGAGCAGAATGAGGACCGATAAAGTAGAAGCTACAGGGAGGCAGGTTTATGCTCGATGTGAAGAAAGCCTTCCTGCTGGCAAGAGACGGCCCAGAGTAGAATCGTCTAGCAGCAGGTCCACCCTCCCTTGAGGTCTGGTGAGAGTCTGAAAGGCCTCTTTTTGGAAGTTCCATAGAGAGCATGTTTCTTCAAGGATGTCTGAGATTCTGTGATCCTGAAGGGGGTGGGAAGAGTCTGTTGCCAGAGGTCAGGTGGACAGCGATGGGGGAAATGGAACGTGGTAAATAGAGCATGAAGGGGCATGGCGTAAATGGAGGAGATGTCAGGTGCCAGACGTGTCACTGAGTTGGAATTGATGGGTGTTGGCAAGCTGAAGACGCAAGAGTCCAAGCTCACCCCTAAGGTTTTGCTCCTGGGGATATTAGCTCGTCACTGGTAATGGAAAGAGCTCTGCATTTGCAGGAAAGACCCAGGTTCTGATCCTGCCTCTGGCACTTATCCTTGTTATTGTTGTTGTTGTTTAGTTGTGCCCAATCTTCACAGCCCCATTTGGGGTTTTCTTGGCAAAGGTACTGGAGTGGCTCGCCATTTTCTTCTCCAGCTCATTTTACAGATGAGGAAACTGAGGCAAACAGGGTGAAGTGACTCGCCCAGGGTCACACAGCTGGTAAACGTCCAAGGTCAGGTTGAACTCAGGAAGATGAGTCTCCCTGACTCCAGGCCCAGGGTGCTAAGAGCAATGGGGTTTCCCTAGCTGTCCTCCCTTAACTTTGAGCAAGTTACTTTTATCAGTCAAGGTCTTAATTTCCCCATCTGCAAAATAAGAGGGTTGGGTTAAGTGGTTTCTAAGGTCCTTTATCATAGAGTCATAGAATTAGAGACAGAAGAGATCCTCTATTCCCACCTGCTACCCAAAATTCCAGATTAAGAATCTGAGACAAAGAAAGGTGAGATGCCTTGACCGTGATCCTGCAGGTAATAAGTAGCAGAGTAGAGATTTGAGCTCAAGACCTCTGAGTACAGGCTCAGTATTCCTTCTGCTGCCACTACTCCTAAGGACTGTGGTCCCACGATCCCTAGACTGCCCTCCAACCTCTAGAACCAAGGAGCTAGTCTAGAGACCAGAGCAGGGATTCTAAAACCAGGGTTCATCAGTTTGGGTTTTGGTTTTGTTTCTAATACTTAGATAACTGTCAGTAGAATTGGCTTCTTTTGTAATCCAGTGGATTTTATTTTATGTATTTAAAAACATTATTCTGAGAAAGGGGTCCATGAGGCTTCACCAGTCTGCCAAAGGGGTCTGTGACGCAGAAAGGTTAAGGTTAGGAATCTTTGGAGAAGAGAATGTCACAACTAGGAGGGGTCGTAGAACACAGAATGTCACAGCTTGGAGGGCTCTTAGAACACAGAATGTCACAGCTGGGAGGAACCTCAGAACAGAGAATATCAAAGGTGGAGAGTGCCTTAGAATAGGTAATGTCAACATGACTATTATGGAAATGTTTTGCATAACTACACACGTATAACCTATATCAAATTGCTTGCCTTCTCAACGCGGGGTGGAGTGGAGAGGGAGGAAGGGAGAGAATTTAGAACTCAAAGTTTTAAAAACAAATGTTAAAAATTGTTTTTATATGTTATGTAACTGGGAGAAAATGAAATACTAAATAAAATTTTTAAAAAAGAATAGATAATGTCAGATCTAAGAGGAACCTTAGAAAACGGAAAGTTAGAGCTGGGAAGGTCCTTAGAACAGAGAATGTCAGAGCTGGAAGTGACTTTAGAAAACAGAAGGGCAGATCTGGAAGAGCCCTGAGAATATAGAATGTCAGGGCTGAAAGAGATCTTAAGCAAGGGTTCTTAACCTGGGGTCCATGAACTTTTAAAAAATTTTTTGATAACTATATTTCATTTTCCTTTGAAACCCTATGTATTTTCTTATACACATTTAAAAATTTGATTCTGAGAAGGGGTCCATGGGCTTCATTAGACAAAAGTGTCCCCCAAAAGGCCAAGAACCTATGGACTAGAGAGATTCTGGGGTTAAGGTATAGGTCCTAGGTTTCAGGTAGTAGGATGGAAGATTTCCATACATAGCCCTAGACTTGGAGTCTGGAATACTCTGACACCGTTCTTCAGTTTTCACTCTGGGGCAAGACAGGTAGCTAATGATGAGAATATACCATCAACAGTATCAATCACAAAGGGCCCTGGAATGAAGGAAGCAGTGTTTCGGTAGAGCCATCAGGTTGTGGGGCTGGGCATGTTATCCCCGGTCCTGCCTGCCTCCTGTCTCCTCTGCCCCTTGGCTTTAGCTCCAGTTAGGTGAGTCTGCCAACCCCTGACAGCACCAGGTGTTCCTGAGACTACAGAAAGGTCAGCCAACCAGAAATCTCGTTGGCAGCGCTTGGGAGGCTGCGGTCAAGATTATGGGGCAGGAAAATTTCCTGTAAGCATTCATTCAGTGAGAGTTTGCCCCCGTGTGGGGCATGACAAGTGACTGGCCTGCCAGCTTCACACCCTTGGCTTCTCTTCCAGATTTTGGCACCTGCCATCAACTGGATGCCCTTCCTAACGAACGTGTTCTACCCCGTGGAGATCAATGAATCAGAGCCTGTGGTGGTCTATGCCAAGGAATACTTGGAGCAAGTCTCCAACCTTATCAACAACACAGACAAATGGTAAGGTGATCCTCCCATCTGGGGATGCCAGGAAGGGGCTCACCCAGCAGCGGGCGACTCCTGTCTGGCTGTCTTGTCCATCTCAGTCTTGGCTAGGTAGGGATGAATATAACGTTCTGTAAATCACACAGCACCGTGACTGAATGGTTGTTACTGTAGCGAGATGTAAGAGAAAAAGGTCTTACTTAGACGCAAGAACTGGGTTGAAGTCCCACCTCTATCAGCAGGGTGACGTTGGGCAAGTTCCTTCTCCCTCCTTGTGAGCGATCATCTTCCTCTGTACAGTGAAGAGTTAAATTAGAGAATCTCTCAGGTTGCTGGATCTCAGAGGATCGAGGCCAGAAGAGCCAACCCCTTCATTGTATAGATGGTGAAACAGAAGTCCGGAGAGTAGACTCGTCCAGCGTCAAAGAGCCAGGGAATAAAAAAACAATAAGAACATCTCTAGTCTTATAACTGCACCCAGTACTTCTTCCACAGGCTCCTGAAAGGACCTCAGAGTCCACCCACTCAGTATCCAAATAGAAATTCCTCCACAAGTCCCCATGAAATGGTTATTTGGCCTCATTTGAAGGGGATCCTACCAACTCCCAGGAAATCCTGTTTTACTTGTGAATTGTTCTCTAGTCGTTAGAAAGTCTTTCCTGACATCAGGCTAAGATCTGCCTCTCTGTAGCTTCCACATGTTTCCTCTTCCCGTCTTTCACGTTCTGTGATTCTCTGTCTTACGGCAGAGATACGTGAATAGCTCTTGAAATGAAGTCTTAGGTTATCTTTAGCCAGAGTGGTAATGGCTACAGACAGAGGGCCCAGAGTCTGGGTAGGCCAGGAATGAGTGACCAAAGGAAGATTACTGAGTGGCTGGGTGGTCAAAATTTCCTCCTGATACCCTTTCCTTAGACTCTCCTCTCATTGCTAACCTCTCCCATCCCCTACCCCTACCCAGCTTTGGTATTGTAGAGTAACCATCACCTCCCCTTCTCGTGCCCCTCTGCTCAGAAGTGGGACTGAGTCAAGCATCCAAGATAGTACTTTGCAGTTATCAGACAATTTCTAAAATTAATTAATTTATTTTTAGTTTTCAACATTGACTTCAACAAGATTTTTGAGTTCCAAATGTTCTCCCCATCTCTCCCCTCTCCCACCCCAAAACAGCATGCATTCTGATTACCACCCCCTTCTCTTATCTCCTTCCCCTTCTCTTTTTCTGTAGGGTAACATAGAGTACTGTACCCCAATGCCTGTGTATCTTATTTCCCAGTTGCATGTAAAAACAATTTTTAACATTCCTTTTTATAACTTTGAGTTCTAAATTCTGTCCTCTCCTCCCTCCCCACCCACCTTCATTGAGAAGGCAGGCAATTCAATATAGGTTATACATGTGTAGTCATGCAAAACACTTCCATAATAGTCATGTTGTGAAAGACTATATTTCCCTGCATCGTATCCCAACCCTGCCCTGTTTATTCTACTCTCCTTTGACCCTGTCCCTTATCAAAAGTGTTTGCTTCTGATTACCTACTCCCCCAATCTGCCCTCCCTTCTATCACACCTCTCTCTCTTCTCCCCTTCCCCCTACTTTCCTGTAGGGTAAGATAGATTTCCATACTCAATTGAATGTGTATGTTATTCCCTCCTTAAGCTAAATCCAATGAGAGTAAGGTTCACTCGTTCTCTCTCACCTCCCCTTCTTCCCCTCCACTGTAAAAGCTTTTTCTTGCCTCTTTTATGTGAAATAATTTACCCCATCCTACCTCTCCTTTTCTTCTTCTCCAGTACTGTCTTACCCCTTAATTTTATTTTTTAGATATCATCCCTTCATGTTAAATTCACCGTTTGCCCTCTGGTCTATATATATTCCCTCCAACTACCCTAATAATGAGAAAGGTCTCATAAGTTACAAATATCAGCTTTCCATGTAGGAATGTAAACAGTTCAATTTTAATAAGTCCCTTATGATTTCTCTTTTCCTGTTTACCTTTTCATGCTTCTCTTGAATCATATTCGAAAGTCAGTTTTTCTATTTAGTTCTGATTTTTTCTCAAGAATGCATTAAATTCCTCCATCTCATCGAATATCAATTTTTTCCCCCTCATTGATAACACTCAGTTTTGCTGGGTAGGTGATTCTTGGTTTTAATCCTAGTTCCTTTGACCTCCAGAATATTATATTCCAAGCCCTTCTATCCCTTAATGTAGAAGCTGCTAAATCTTGTGTCATCCTGAGTTATCAGACAACTTGAATCAATCCCAGGAGCATTCACGATGTACTGACCAAGGGGCTAGGCACCAAGGACAAAAGCCAAGTGGTCCCTGCCTTCAAAGGGCTTCCATTCTACTGAGGGGAAACATCATGTACATAAATGAGTAAATTCAAACTACATCTAAAATAATTTCCTCTCCTCTGGCTTGTACTATTTCAGTAGCTCCCTAAGTGGGCTCCCTCCTCACACCAGTCCGTCTTCCATGTAACTGCCCAAGGGATTTTCCTAAAGCATGTAAGATCGTTGAGGGAAGGGACTGTCTCACTTTTTGTCCTCATATGTCCAGTGCCTGACGTACATTAGGTGCTCGTCTGCCAATTAACTGGTTTACTGGGTCTGAGCACATCACGACCCCACTCAAGAAACCCAGTGGCTCCCTATTACCCTCAGGATTAACTATAAACTCCTCTCTTTGGCAGTTGAAGCCCCTCACAACCTGACTCCTTCCTACCTTTCTAGTCTTCTCAGACTTCACAGCTTCTGCCCATTCTCTGGCTACACTGGCATCCTTGCTGTTCCTCTTACGCTATACTCCATTTCCCAGTTCAGTGCCTTTGCATGGAATACTGTTCCTTTTCCCCTTAGCTTCCTTGGCTTCCTTCAAAACTCTGCCCAAATTTGGGGCAGCTAGGTGGCACAATGGATAGAGCACCAGCCCTGGAGTCAGGAGGACCTGAGTTCAAATCCAGCCTCGGATGCTTGCTAACTGTGTGACCCTGGGCAAGTCCCTTAATCCCAATTGCCTTTAAAAAAAAAAAAGCCTCTGCTGAAATTCCACCTAATGCAGCATCCGATATCTTTCCCCACTGCTACCGGTGCCTGTCCTTTAAGGTTACTTCCATTTACACTGTCTGGGTCTTGTATTTGCCTAGTTACTAGTCATCTTCCCCATTAAACAATGAGCTCCTTGAGGGCAGGGGCTATGTTTTGGTTTTGGTTTTGGTTTTTTGCTAGGCAGTGGGGTTAAGTGACTTGCCCAGGGTCACACAGCTAGTAAGTGTCAAGTGTCTAAGCCCGGATTTGAACTCACATCCCGTGTTCTATCCACTGTGCCGCTTAGCTGCCCCTGCGACTATGTGTTTTTGCTTTTCTTTTTATCCTCAGTGATTAGCATAGTGCCTGAAGACACATAGTGTAAGTCGACTGTGCTCGTAAGGTCCAAGGGGACAAGGGGGATGAACAGGGGATTCAAGTCCAGTAGACTGATAGGGCAGCGAGGTGGCGCCATAGTGCATAGAGCTTGGGGCCTGGAGTCAGGGAGACTCCTCTTCTGAGTTCAGATCTGGCCTTAGACATGTACTAGCTGTGTGACCCTGGGCAAGTCACTTAACTCTGTTTGCTTCTACTTCCTCATCTGTCGGATGAGCTGGAGAAGGAAATGGCAAACTACTCTAGTATCTTTGCCAAGAAAACCCCAAATGGGGTCACAAAGAGTCAGACACAACTGAAAAACAACTGAACAAAAACACCTAGCAAGTATTAAGTGCCTGCTGTGTGCCAGGCACTTTGCTAGGTGTACAGAGACAAAAATGGAATCATTCTAGCCCTCAGACCTAGGCGCAGATATACAACTACAAAGTAATTGGGGGAGAGGGCAAGGCACCTAGGACTTCCTGGAAGAACTCTTGAGCGTTTGAACTGAGCTTTGAAGGCAGCTAGGAATTCCCAGTAAATCAGTTAATTGGCAGACATGTATTAAGCACCTAATGCATGCCATGCACTAGAGACACAAGGACAAATGTGAGACGGACTCTTCTCTCGAGGATCTTATGTTCTGACGTACCACTGACCTTCAGAATGAAGAACGAGGCTTCCTAGGGGAGAGAGCGTCTGAGGGCCCTTCTGATTCCCCACATTCTCTCCTCTTCCCAACAGCCTCCTGAACAACTACATGATCTGGAACCTGGTGAAAAAAACGAGTCCTTTCCTGGACCAGCGCTTCCAGGATGCCGAAGAGAAATTCATGGAAGTGATGTACGGGACCAAGAAGGTAAGAGGTGGGCAAGTCTTCTCCCACGTGGGAGGGAAGTGCTGTAGTCCCAGTCATCCCGAGGCTGATGATGGAGGAGAGCACCCAGGGCTTCCAGCTGGGAGATTTGCGGTCAGATCTTAGCTCTGCTGGTTACTGTATGAGCCTCAGTTTCCTCTTTCAATCCAATTCAGAAAGCTAAGTACTCTTCGTGTGCAAAACAAGGCAGCCTTCTGCAGGGCATGGAGTCAAGGATGCCTGAGGTCAAGTGCTGTCTCTAACACATGCTGGCTGACCAGAAAACTAAGACACAAATCTTAGTCATCTAGGTGTCCCAGAGGATAGAGCACCGGGCCTGGAGTCCTAGGAAGGCTAGGTCCAAATCCAGCCTCAGACAATTACTAGTTGTGTGACTCTGGACAAGACACTCAACTCGCTCTCTGCCTCAGTTTCCTCATCTGTAAAATGGGAATAATAATGGCACCTCCTTTCCCAGGGTTGTTGTAAAGATAAAAATGAGATAATACTTGTAAAGTGCTTTGTAAACTTTACAGCAATTTATAAATGCTAGCTATTATTTTTGCAAGCATTTATGATCTCCCCCTCCGTCCCCCTATCCCCCTGCCCAGTTGAACAATAAAAAAATTAAAAATAAAATCTTCATAACATATATGCATAATCTAGGGGAAAACTAATCTCCGTACTATCCATGTCCAAAAATAGATGTCTCATTCTACATTTTAAGTTCATCACTTTCTCTGGTGGGAGGTAGGTAGCATGATAAAACATGCTTCAGTCCTTAGGATTCAGGGCTTATATTTGCATTGCTCAGAGTTCTAAAGTCTTTCAAAGTTGTTCTTCTCTGCATCATTGTTGCTGCTGCTTTAATGGTCCTCCTAGTTCTGCTCACTTCCCTCTGCATCAGTTCAGACAGCTCTTTGCATCTTCTCTCCATATGGTCCTTTGTCTTGATGCAAGAATGTTCTTTTCCATTCGTGTACCACAGTTTGTTTAGCTGTTCCTCAGAAGGTGGAAATCCCCTTTGTTTCCAGTTTGAGCTGCTGCAAAAAGAGCTGCTATCATTTTTTTGCGCATATCGGTGCATATATTCTTTCTTACATCTCTTTGGGGAATAGGCCTAGGAGCTTCCTTGATGGGCCGAAAGGTGTGCAGACTTTAGTATCTTTTGGGGGATAGTCCTAAATTCCAAGCACTACATTTTCTGTGAAACCTTTCCTGATCCTCCCATCTGCCAGAGCCCTCGCTCCCAGACTACCTCCTACTTAATTACTTTGTCTATATTTGTATTCATTCTCTTCATATTTATTCTGATACACTGATACACGTACTTTCTGTCTCCCCATCAGAATGTAGTGTCCTTGACGTTAGGGATTGTGTCGTTCTTTGGAACTCCAGCACCCAGCATAGTGCTTGGGATGTAAGAGGGGCTTAATATGTGGTGGAATGATTGAATTGTTGGAGAGTCACTGTGGTATGCTGAATAGAGCAAAGAACTTGGAGTCAGGAGACCCTAGTTCAAATCCCACTTCAGACACTTACTAGCTCCGTGTGATCACGGACAAGTCACTTTAACCTCTCAGAGACTCAGTCTTCTCATCTGTAAAATGGACATAACACTTGGAGGTAGGGGTCTGTTGAGGTTTTGTTCTGTGGAAGGTCTCTGGTAAGCTTTCAGCCACCGCTCAGTGACTGTGACTTTCTGTTATTATTTTTTCCTACTCAGGGCATGCTCGCTACCCTTGTGTCTGAGTTTCCCTCCTCCAGCTTGATCCTGAGCGTCTCCTGGGACAACTCAGGCCAGGATAAGAGCAGGCGCTGAATGGCCGGAAGGGGGTCTCTCAGAGCCAGGCCCTCAAGGACGGAAAACTTTCCCCCTTTTCCTCTGATCTAATTGTCTAGCCATCTCTCGACAGGAAAGCAATAATCAAAATAAATAAAATGGCTTCCTGGGTTTCCTGGAGTGCTTCTAACAGTCCTGCTCCACAGCATTAGGGGACAAAAGGAAGGATCAATTTATAATACCAGCCCACAGAGGCCACAGGGGGTAGAGCTGGCCTGGGAGTCCAGAAGAAAGACTTGGGTCAGATCCTACCTCTGATGTGTACTGACTGTGCGGCTCTGGGCAGGGCGCTTCACCTATGCCTGCCTCAGTTTCCTCATCAGTAAAATGGGGATTTTGAGGCTCGGATGAGACAAGATTTGTAAAGTGCTGTGCAAACCTTAAAGTGCTATGTTAATGTGAGCTGTCACTAGCGTTGTTGTTATTATTTCTGTAGCCTCTTGGAAAGTTTACGAAGTGCTTTCTGTTCTCATAGATTATCTCACTGGGACTTCTCCATATGCCTGTGATTTAGGCAGTGCAAGTGTTGAGATCCCCGCTTAACAAATGAGCATGTATGCTCCCCCCTGCCCCCGCACCTCCTCTCCTCCACCCCCAGCTGGCCCACTGGCTCATCTCCGGGTGCATCATTCCATCTTCTGCTTCTGTCCTGAATGCCTGGAATGCTCATTGTCCTCATCATCACTCCCTGGGACCCTTTGTGGTGGTGTTGTCCAATCATGCCCAAGTCTTCATGACTCCACTGGGGGTTTTCTTGGCAGAGATACTGGAGTGGTTTGCCGTTTCCTTCTCCAGCTCATTTTACAGATGAGGAAATTGAGGCAAACAGGGTTAAATGACTTGTCCAGGGTCACACTGGTAGTAAGTGTCTGAGGCTGGATTTGAACTCGGGTATTCCTGACCCTAGGCCTAGCTGCCACCTCCTTAAAGAAGACTTTCCTGGTTTCCCCAATGGTTAGGACTCCCCCTCCCAGCAAAAAATGATCACTGTGCATTTATTTTGCATGTATTCTGTATGTAGTTATCTGCTATCCTTTGTCCCTGAAATAAAACATAAGCTCCTTGAGGGCAGATACTGCCTCACTGTTGCCTTTGTATTCCCAGTGCCTGGCACATAGTAGGTGCTTAATAAATGCTTGTCAAATGATTAGCAAAGTTTATAGTTTAAGAAGTTTATTTCCCAACATGGACAGAAGTAACTGCAGAATTTTCTAAACTTTCCCCAAACCCAAGAAAAGCTGATTGTTGACCTCTGGTAGGGAGAGACAACAAGTGGCACAAATTCAAGTTAGGAAAAATCTGTCCATGTGAGTTCATTAGAAGAAGATCTGGACATCATAGTGGATACAGAACTTACCATAACACTGCCACATAGCTCTGCAGCTACAGCTACAGGCATGCGCAGAACACAGAATTAAGAAGCCTATTCTATTAGGCATGGACTAGACCCAGCATGGCATGATCTGTCTGCTTCTGAACTACTCAGGTAAGGATGGATAGGCAGAAAGCCGTGAAGGAGAAAGAAGAGTTAGGAGGGTTTAAGAGACGGGGATGATGCAACCTGGGGAACAGAGAGTAGGAGCAGCCTTCAGGTGTAAAAGGAAGTCATACCAAAAATGGCTTTTCAGGACTGAGAATGTAAAGATGAGAGATGTGAGTTAGTTTAAAAGAGAATCTCTTGACTGAAATTTTGGGACCATCAGCATGGAAAGCTAAGGAAGAGTATGTAGTCTCTTCAGAAACACATTTTTCCTCCTTTCTTTCCTTTTTTTTTTAATCAATCGGGGTTAAACTGACTTGCCCAGGGTCACACAGCTAGTGTCTAAAGTCAAATTTGAATTCGGGTCTTCCTGACTCCAAGACCTCTACTCTGTGGACTATGGCACCACCCAGCTGCCTCCTGAAACACCTTCAGTGAGATCAGTTCTCACCTATCTGTTTTGCTGTCTGTAATTCTGAATGAAATGACCTTGAAGTTTATTATTTAGAGCAGGTAGGAATCTTAGGGACCCACTAGTTCATTCAGCTTATTTCATAAACTGAGACCCAGAGAAGGGACGCGATTTGCCCAATGTCACACAGTTTATAAATACCGGAGCCGGAATTTGAAACCAGCATCTCTATCTCTTTCTGCTATATCACACTGGTTCAAGGCCCTTTTCCTCTCAAGGATTCTGTGACCACCTATTTCAGATGTCTAAAATGCCCCTTATTGAGTCCAAAAGTGTTTTTTGTTGTTTGTCTTTGTTTTTTATTTGGTTAGGCAATGGAGTTAAGTGACTTGCCCAGGGTCACACAGCTAGTAAGTGTTATGTGTCTGAGGCCAGATTTGAACTCAGAGCCTCCTGAATCCAGAGCCAGTGCTCTGTCCACCATGCCATAGATAGTGGATATCTGCCCCAGTGGGTTTTTTTTTTTTTAATGTTGATTAAAGAACACATGGGGCAGCTAGTGGGCGCCAGAGTGCACAGAGTGCCAGGCCTGAAGTCAGGAAGACTCATCTTCCTGAGTTCAAATCCAGTCTCAGACACTTCCTAGCTGTGTGACCCTGGGCAAGCCACTTCACCCTGTTTGCCTCAGTTTCCTCATCTGTAAAATGATCTAGAGAAGGAAATGCAAACTACTCCAATATCTTCTCCAAATGGGGTCACATAAGAGTCAGACACAATTTGAAAATGACTGAACAACAACAAAGAACACATGAGAAATGCATGTCCTGTCTGGAGCAGTTTACTCTGGGAAGGAGGTATAGAATGAAGAAAGGACCAAAATGGCGTCACCACGTTAGAGTCAAGTTAAGAAAGGATGACTAAAGTCAAATGAGCCAAGCACAGATTCGTGGATTGAGAACTTTCAGGGATCCCAGAGGTCATCTTGTCCAGTCTCCTCATTTTATCGGTGAGGAAAGTCGAGGTCACCCAGCTAAGTAGATGGCGGCCGGAGGTGGGGTTTGAACCCACCAGGTTCTCTGACTCTTTCCACATCGCCATGTTTCCTCTAGACTGGAGTTATTTACCTCCCTTGTTTTGCATTCACAGACGTGCCTTCCACGATGGAAGTTTTGTGTGAGTGACACAGACAACAACCTGGGCTTTGCCCTGGGCGCCATGTTTGTGAAAGCCACCTTTGCCGAGGACAGCAAGAACATAGTAAGTCCCGCGCCTGGGGATGACTCCTCATCATCACCCATGCAGAGTGCCTCCCTCATGGGCTTGAGGCCTCTTACTCATCCAGTCTACCCTCATTCCTCTTCTCTCCAAGCTTTTTACGCCAGTCTTGTCCCTTCTGCACATCCACCAAAATGCTCTTTTCCTGAACCTCAAATCAATTCTGTTGTTTTTCTCTGGAGTCCTTGGCCTTGCGTTCCTGCCTCCATCTTTAGCTTTTCCATTGGTACTGCCAGATTTTACAAACTGAGCACTAGTCAGGGCCAGTCACTGGGTGCTCCACGGATAGCAGTCACTCATCTTAAGCCCCAAATGTGTCTCCTGGGCCTTTCATAGAGTAGAAAATGTCAGAACTAGAAGAGGGCTTAAAACAGAAAAGTGCAGACCTGGGAGGGACCTTGGGACATAGAAATTCAGAGCTGGGAAGTACCTTAGGACACAGATGTCAGAAATGGAGGAAGCCTGAGAACATGAAATGTTAGAGAATTTAGATCAGGTGGAATTATAACTTCTTTTTCTGTCCTTATGTCCCTAGCACCTAGTACAGAGCAAGGCAAATTATAGGCACTTGATAAATACGTATTGGATTGAATTGAATTGAATTCTATTAAGTTCTGAATTGAAGCCAATTTAGAGCAGAGGAGGGGATTTGAGATCATAGATTGCCAGGGATGGGAGGGACCTTAGAACGTACAGTCATCAGAGATAGGAAGGATTTCAGAATATGGAGTGAGATCTGGAAGGGGCCTGAGAACAGAAAGTGTTAGAGCTGAAAGGAACCTTAGAGATCATCTGTTCCAGAGGGTCTTTAATGTTCTTGTGTCCTGGACCCTTTGGCACTCAGGCTGCTGTAGCCTACAGACCCTTTCTCAGTAATGCTTTAAAAGATGTCACATAGGATTCCTTTGTCACGTAGGATGACAAAGGAAACCAATTACATTGAAATAGTTATCAAAATACTTTTTAAAAGCAAGTTAACATGGGGCAACTAGGTGGCACAGTGGATAGAGCACCAGCCCTGGAGTCAGGAGGACCTGAGTTCAAATGTGACCTCAGACTCTTACTAGCTGTGTGACCCTGGGCCAGTCACTTAACCCCATTGCCTAGCCAAAAAAAAAAAAAAAAGCAAGTTCACAGACCCTGGGTTAAGAGCTCCTGATATAATCAAAGTATATGGCTTCCTCATTTTACAAAGGAGGAAACTGAGTCTCAAGGAGTGACTTGCCCAAGGTCATAGCTTTTTGGAGGCAGAGCCTCTTTGCAAAGGTTGAGACTATGCCCAGAGGTTAACCTTCCTGCTTGTAGAAATTCTTTCCTCCCGTTATGGCAGCTGTGCAGGCCTCCACTAATACCTGTCTGTATTCCCCAGGCCAGTGAAATGATCTTGGAGATCAAGAAAGCATTTGAAGAAAGCCTGAGCACCCTGCAGTGGATGGACGAGGATACACGGAAATCAGCCAAGGAGAAGGTGATTCATGCCTCAAAAGCCACATCTAACCTGTAGTCATCTATGTGGTGAAGTGGATTAAGCACTGAATCTGGGGTCATGAAGGCGAGAGTTCAGATCCTGCCTCAGACGCTCACCCTGTGTGATTCTGGACAAGTCACCTAAATTTTGTTTGCCTCAGTTTCCTCATCTATAAAATGGGAAAAACAATAGCACCTAATTCCCAGGGTTGTTGTGAGGATAAAATGATATAACATTTGTAAAGCACTTTTGTGTATCTTAAAGCCCTATATAAATGCTAGGAGGAGGAGGAAGAGGAGGAATACTTGTAGTAGTAGGAGTAGTACTTGTAGTAGTAGGAGTAGTAGTACCACCCCTGCTCCTACTACTACTACAGCCAGAAGGGATCTTTGTTGTTGTTCATTTGTGTTCATTTGTGTCTGACTCTTCATGATCCCATTTGGGGTTTTCTTGGCGGAGATGCTGGAGCGGTTTGTCATTTCCTTCTCCAGTCCATTTTATAGTTGAGGAAACTGAGGCAAACAGGGTGAAGTGACCTGCCCAGGGTTACATAGCTAGGAAGTGTCTGAGGCTGGATTTGAGCTCAGGAAGATGACCTTAGGCTATTAAATTCAAACCCTTCATTTTATAGCTGAGGAAACTGAGGCCTAAGAAGCAAAGTGACTCACAGGTTCACACAGATAGTAAGTGGCAGAGTCAGGATTTGAACCCAGGTCCTCTATCCCCAAATCCATGGTTTTTCCCACCATCTGCCAGTGATTGTAGTTGCTTTTCCAGTACTGGAGATCAGTTCTGCTGGGCTAGTCAGTCTCTGTCCACGCTCCCTGTGATGTGGCCAAGAGTGGGGGAAGGGTATAGTCTGTGAAGAGTATAAAGTAGCATTTTCTCTGGACAAAGCTAATTGGTCTGTTTAGCAGCCACCTAATCCTTGACCTTGTCCTCATTCTCACCACAGTCTTAGCCACTGATGGAACCCAATGAGCACTCAGTAAACTGACTCATGTTTTCAGAGAACCTGGGTCTGTTTCCTCTACTAGGCCTTGAGACTGTTTATCTCATCTTAGACCCCCTGAAGGCAGAAGCTCTTAGAAACCTTCCCTTCCCCTCTTTTTAAAAATTATTATAAACTTGACAAATACAAACATTTCCCTATAGAAAAACAGAAAAAGAAGATTGTATATGAAATTCTAAAGTCTATTAGAGAGATTCAGCTTTTTTAAAAATACATATTAAATTAAACATGGTTTAAAAGGTGGCTCTGTTTGTGAGCCCTTCTGAACTCCTTTCTGTTTTCTTCTGTGTATTTTTTATGTTTTTATTATTATTATTATTATTATTATTATTATTATTTTGACTAGACAGTGGGGTTAAGTGACTTGCCTAAAGTCACACAGCTAGTAAGTGTTATGTGTCTGAGGCTGGATTTGAAGTCAGGCCCTCCTGACTCTAGGGCCAGAGCTCTGTCCTTTGCACCACCTAGCTGCCCCTTCCTTTTCATATTTCTTGTGTCACACTAATTTTCCATTACATTTGCATACAGTAATTTGTTTGGCTCTTCAGTGCCAAGGCTACAATTTGAACCCAGTTTCTCTGATCCCAGTCCCATTGTTCCATAGACTAAAATAGCAGTTTTCAAATGTTTTGGTCTCAAGACCCCTTCACATTCTTAAAAATTATTGAGGACTGTCCCACAAGGAGCTTTTGTTTATGTGGGCTATATTTATCATTAGTTACCATATTAGAAATTAGAGTGTCTTAGAATCATTATGGAAATAGTTTTGACTTCACAGAGCCCTTAACGAGTTTTCTGGACCATATTTTGAGAACAACTGCCCTCCGCCAAGGTGTCTCTTGCCGAGCACCATCAGCGCTGAACATGTCCCATTGTTTGCCTCCCAAACCAGGCAGATGCAATCTACAATATGATTGGCTACCCCAACTTCATCATGGATCCCAAGGAGTTGGACAAGGTCTTCAATGATGTGAGTTGGCTTCATTATTCTTCACTGTGTTGGAAACTTTCTTTTGCACTGTAGAATTCCTTTTGGGGCCAGCTCTCCCAGGGCAGACTTAGGAGGTAGAGTCAGGATTGTACCCAAAGGCTGTACATTCAGTAGCTATTCAAATTTGGGGCCATACAATTCAACATTCATTTATTAAGAACCTACTGTGTGTAGAATATTATGCCAGGCACTAGAGAGACAATTTATAGAAGTCATTGTCCCTGCCTTCATGGAGCTCACATTACACTAACGAAGCAGCTCTAATATACAGCATTACATGTGTGCACCAGAGAGCTGCAAACCTCACAGAGCACAATGGTCTGTGAGGTCCAAGGTAGAAGATCATTACCAATGGGGTCTCAGAGGAGGCTTCCTGGGGGAGGTGACATTTGAGTTGTGCTCTAAAGAATGAGGAGGACCTTGATAATTGAAGGGGCGCTGGGGTTGGGTTGAGGCATAGCCATTTCTAGATGAATCAACCTGCTTTGGTATTTGAGGACTGAGCAGGCCCAAGGGCATTCAGAGAGTTGGCGGCCTCTTACTAGAAGTCTCCACGTGGAGTCTGGATGACTTGGTGGGGATATTACAGAGGGAGTTTCTGTTCAGGGACCCAATGGTTGAGATGACCTCTGAGACTCCTGATTCAGCATCTCAATTCTTACCTCTCCTAATCCACTTGAATGTCTCCCTAGAACCATTAGCTTCCTTTAGAGAAGTTGAGCAGGTCAAATGAATTCCCATGACTTTACTGTAAGCGATCAGAATTCCTTGAAGGTTTGGGGTGTTGGAAGAAGCAGGGACTCAGCCCCCAAAGGGCATTATTGGCATGGCAAGAATCTGGCTCCAAAGATGCCCAGGATAGAACATTCTTTATTCCAGTGCCCTTTGGTTCCCAGAAACATCTCCCATTCCAGCCTCTCAGAACTTGAAATTGGGACTTGAACTTGAAATTTTAAAGGGACAGAGTTAATTAGGTCCAACTTCGAAACCACAGTGTCCTTTGAATTTGAGGAACCAGGGGCTATCTGAGACAGCTTCTATGTTGATCACGAACCATAGTCAGAACATCTGATAAATCTCTCCTTTTAACTGAACCTTAAACTGAAATATTTCCCTAGAAGAAATATTTGTATTTCACCTACCCCTGAAAATCTGTGATGACTTACAGTAATCTATTATTGGTTTGATTTTGTGATCATGCTTCCTAAAAACATTGTGCTGTTTTAAATTTAAGTCAAATGCCAAATGCCTTACCCGACACCCGCCTTTATTGTGTTGTGCGTGATTTCTCCTTACTCTTCCTGTCTCGTAACCCGATCAGAAACAGAAAATGAGCTTTGTTTGGCATGATTTGTTCTTAGAGAACCTAAGCTTATTCCTAGTGCTCATCTCATTCTTTTCTAAGTGTTCTCAAACTATTTAATTCATTATAATTCATTCTGTCATTTGAGCATAATTTGGAAACCTTTTCCTTTAGAATATTTCAAGATAACCTGGGATGTGGCATATAAGACCTGGGAATGCCTGCCTTAAGCCATCTCCAATTCCTGATATGTCCTCCTTCTTTATCTCTGCTTCCTGGCTTCCTTTAAGGCTCAGCTCGAATCCCATCCTCCGCAAGTGACCCTTCCTGGTCTCTGGCACTATTAGCATGTCTCCCTTATCTATTTGTTGATTTTTTTTCTCTATTTATTTACTTATCTATCTATCTATCTATCTATCTATCTATCTATCTATCTATCTATCTGTCAATCTATATATACGTTCCATTCTCTAAAAATCTTGTACATGTTGCCTCTCCCATAAGAATTTGAGCTCCTTGAGGGCAGTGGCTATTTTTGCCTTTCTTTGTATCCCCAGCTCTTCACATGTGCCTGGCACATGCTTGGTTGACTGACTGAAAAGAAGTGTGCCCAGTGAAATGGGAGACCGTGCTCTAAGTTGCTGAGTGTGTCCCAGAAATCTTCTCTTTCTTTTCCAGTACAATGCCGTACCAGATCTTTACTTTGAGAACGCCATGCGGTTTTTCAACTTCTCATCCAGAGTCACCGCAGACCAGCTCAGAAAAGCTCCCAACAGGGATCAGTAAGTTCTTTGGACCCCCTCCATCCTCCTTGTGGGCTCATAGGGGAGGCATAGGAGCTGTGACCATAAGACCCCATTAGGAAAGGAGAGTGCTTGAAGCATAATCGTGTCTCTGCCACTCAGCTCCTATGCAACTTTGGGCAAATCTCTTAACCTACCAGGACTCAGTTTTCCCATCTTTAAAATGAAAGGGTTGAGCTAGATGACTTCCAAGGTCTCTCCAGCTCTAAAGCCTATAATCTTGTGAAATCCAAGTGTTTTCTCTCTACTCTGTTTTCCATCTGAGGACATGTTGTATTACCCAGTAGAATATAACCTTACTGAGGACAGATAGTTTTGTTTTTGCCTTTGTATCTCCAGTCCTTAGTATAGAGTCAATGCTTGATAAATGCTCATTGAACATGAATGCATCTGATAAGCACCACATGGATATCACAGGTAGTATGTGAAGCCATAAGATATAAGGGAATGAACACTGAACCTGGAGTCAGAAAACCAGGGTGTGACCCCAGCTTTACCACTGTGAAAGCTGTGTGACCCTAGGCAAATCATCTGCCCAAGCCTCAGTTTCCTTATCTGTAAAATAGAAAGAGGCAAGGTAGTATAGGGAGAAGAGCACTAGATCTGGAGGTCAAAGGCCTGAGTTCAAATTCTGGCTCTGAAACTTACTGCCTGTGTCACCTTGGACAAGTAAATTTTCCTGTAAAATAAGGAATATAGCCTGGTGATTTCTAAGAGTCATTACAGCTGTAAATCCTGTGATCCCACACAAAAGGGGCTAATTGTATTCACTCTTATTTACATTGCAAGATTAGTGTCCAAAAAAGTAGTGTTGAATAATAAACAATGACAGTAGCATTTACTTAGTACTTTAAGGTTTATTATGCACTTTACACAGATCAATCAATAAACATTTATTAAGTGCGTACTATGTGTCAGGTTCTGTGCTATGCACTGGGGATGCAAAAAAAAAGGCTTCCTGCCCTCAAAGAGTTTACAATCTAATGGGGGAGACCAAAAAAACAGATAAATCCCAAATATATACAAACAAGCCCTATACAGGATAAGTGGCAAATAATTAACAAAGGAAGGACACTAGAATTAAGAGGGGGTGGGAAGGGCTTCCTGCAGAAGTGAGGATTTTATTGGACCTCAAAGGAAGCCAAGGAGGTCAGTAGTTAGAGCTGAGAGAGAGAACATTCCACGGTTGGGGGACAGATAAAGAAAATGACCAGGAGAGAGAGATGGAGGGTGTCATTTGTGGACCAGACAGAAGGCCAGTGTCACGGAATCAAAGAGTGTATTGTGAGAAGTAAGGTGTAAGAAGACTGGAAAGGTGGGAGGGGACTAGGTTAGGAAGGGCTTTGAATGCCCCACAGAGCATTTTGCATTTGATCCTGTAGGTGATAGGGAGCCACTGGATTTTATTGAGTTGGGGGTGGGGATTTGACAAGAACGGAGCTTTTGGAAAATTCACTTTAGTGGCCAAATGGAGGATAGATTGGAGTAGGAAGAAACTTGAGGCAAGCAGCCCCACCAACAGATTACTGGGAAGGTGGGAAGGTGATGAGGGTTTCTGCATCAGGGTGGGGGCAGTGTCAAAGGAGAGAAGGAGACATAGAAGAGATATTGCAAAGGTGAGATTGACAGGTCTTAATAACACATTGAATATAGGAGGTAAGAGTTTAGGGAGAAATCTAGGATGACATTTAGGTTGTGAGCCTGAGGGACTGGGAAGATGGTGGTGCCTGCTGCAGTAATAGGGAAGGTAGGAGGAGGGGAGGGTTTAGGGGAAAGATAATGGGAAGTGAGTGGTGGAGACCCAAACCATGCATCAGAACAGTGGAGTGATCCTTGGCTTCCCCCCCACCAATGACCTCTGCCACTTTAATTCTTGTGTTTCCTGCAGGTGGAGCATGACTCCTCCCACCGTGAACGCCTACTACTCGCCCACCAAGAATGAGATCGTGTTTCCAGCTGGAATCCTGCAGGCTCCATTCTACACCCGCACATCCCCCAAGTATGAGGCCTCCGGACCGTACTGTTGCCTATTTTCAGCTTCTTCCGTCCCCTCCTTCCCTTCAGTCAATCGGTCAGAAAGCCCTTCTTTAACTTGGGCACTGGGCTAAACTAAATAATGCAGATACAAAGGGGAAAAAAAGCAAAAACATGTCCTGCCCACAAGCTTACATTCTGATGAGAGTGGGAATGAATAGAGATAAAATGTATCTAAATAGGGACCATAAAGTTACTTACAGCAGAGAAACAAGGTAATGTTAGTGGGGTGGGTGCCAGCAGTTTGGGGGACCACATAACAACTCTTTCCTTGCTCTGCAGGTCACTGAATTTTGGTGGAATCGGGGTTGTTGTGGGTCATGAGCTGACTCATGCCTTTGATGATCAAGGTGAGTTAGTCCCAGGAGCCTTCTACTGCCTGAATTCCCTAATCTTCCTTGCCTATCTTTGCTCTGAAGTTTCCAAGACCCAGCATTCTTGGCCTTGGATGCAAAGAAGGGATGAGGTTTTGCTTTCAAGAGAGCCCTAATTCCCAGGGATCAATCTTGATGTCGTAGTTTGCTGTTACCCAGACATAAAGGGCCCAGAATCAAAGACACCTTAACCAAGCCTTGAAGATAAGCCCCCGAACTTCCCAGCCCGCCATTTACTTTCACCAGCCTGCGTGAAGTGGCACACGCAGAGTAAAACACATGGTGCTGCTGATACAATACAAAGAAATCAGGAAAACTGGGTTCGAATCCTGCCTCTAGTACTAATTATGTGACCCTGAGACATGTGGCATTCCCTCTCTGGGAATCAGTTCCCTCATCTGTAAAGTGAGCTCACTAGTGATAATCGCACACAAGCGTAGGGGGGCTTGCCTATACTGTCTGCTACTGAAGAGGCTGAGGCTGGCGGATCTCTTGAGTTCGGGAGTTCTGAGCTTACAGCCAATCAGCAGTCCTCACTAAGCCCAGGACCAATATGGCGACCCCCAGGGAGCAAGAGCCACCATATCACCTAGAGAGGGCTGAGGTCGCAGCATTCATGCTGATCAGCAGTGGGATCGAGCCAGTAATTGGCCCCTGCTCCTCTAGCTTGGGTGACAGAAGGATACACAATCTTAAAATAAAGATCAAAATTAGTATTCTTGTTAAATTGATAATAATCTATATTCGATTGATGTAGTAATTGATTTTAATAATTCTAATACATTCATTATAATAAATAATTATGTTATAAATTATAATTTATGAAATTCCATGAGGGATTGCATCCATTATAAATTATAATAAACATAATAAAATATTACATAAAATTAACCATGATAATAATTACACTGCTTCAACAAATATTTATTAAGCGCCTTTTATGTGCAGCCCCTCGGTAGGCCCTGAGAGAGTTCCGATAAGGCACAGCTGCACAATTGTAGACTCTCCAAGTCAGAAGGGCCCTCAGAGGACGTCTGATCCAACCCATACCTGAACATGAATCCTTTCTAGAAGATGCTTTGCTCTTGCTTATGACTGAGGGGAAACCAGAGGCCTCCAGAGGCAGCCTCGCCTGCTTTTAGAAAGCTTCAGTTGCTTACCTCAGGCCTCAATCTGCCTCTCTGCAATTCCCACCCACTGTTCCTGGTTCAGTGCTCTGGAGCCAAGCTGAGTCTCATCTTTCTTCCATTTCGCAGCCCTTCACATAGCCCTTGAAGCCAGCTATCATGTTCCTACTAAATCTTCTATTCTCCAGGCCACACATAACCAGTTCCTTCATTTGTCCACATGCCTCATTCCTTCAATTTACTCAAGGCCCAATATCATCTTAGTTATTCTCTTCTGGACCTTCTCCAACCTACCAGCATCATTTGCAGATTATGACACTCAGAACTGGCTGGAGTACTCCAGATGTGATCTGACCAGGGCGGAGTACAGGGGGATTATCACCTCCATGGTGCTAAGCACTCTGCCTCTCAAAGTAGCCCGAGATCACATTAGCCTTCTTAGCTCCTGTATTCCACAGCTGACTCCAATTCAAAGTAGGCTTGCAGATCTTCCCCCTCCCATTTTCATTTTTATCATGAACCTGACAAACGTTAGTATTTCTGTATTTGTATTTAAGGTGTGAAAGTTTAAAACTGGCACTGACTTTTGGCACCCTGCGTACAAAGAAGATGGGAAATCAGAATTGTATATCAAAATCCAAACTTCTGTTATATACAGAGGGTTGTTTTAAAGCATGTGTTAAATTTAGCACACTAGTAACAAAACTGTTCCTCAGTCACACCTCCCCCATCTTGTATTTATGAAGTTGATTTTTTGAACCTAAATATAAGACTTGACGTTTATCCATATTAAGTTCCCTCTATTTAGGCCTCTCTTTTAACCTGTCACAAAATCATTTTGAATCCTGACCCCCCCATCCCACAGCTATCTCTCCCAGCTTTGTGTTGTCTATAGATTGCATAAGCCTGCCATCTTTCCCTCTATCCAGATCATGGATAAAAACCTTAAACAGCTATGACAGGACCAAACACAAATTCCTAAGTCATTCCGCTGGAGGTCTCTTCCCAAGTTGGCACTGAAGCATTAACTCTATGGTTCTGAACCAGACAAACCTACCAAGCTGCCTTATTGTCTAGCAAATCGAACTTTCCAACTGGTCCACACAGTCAGCCTGAGAAACTTTGCCGAAGGCTTCACTAAAATCTGGCTGAACTAGACTGACAGCATTCCCTGGATCCGCCAGTCTAATAACCCTGTCAGAAAAGGAAATAAAGTTAGTCTGGCATGACCTGTTCTTTATGAAGCCATGCTGGGTCTTTGTAGCTACATCTTCTCTTTTCAGGTGTGTACTGGCCATCCCAGAATTTTGCTAGGAATCAAAGTCATGCTCACTGGTCTACAGTTTTCAAACACTCCCCTCCTCCCTTTTTGAAAATTCAAATATCTGCCGTTTTCCAGTTCTCTGGTACTTTCTCTTCTTCTCCACAGTCTTTCAGCAGTGGCTAACGGTGGTTAAACCATCACATCTGCAAAAGTTCTTTCTTTTTTTGAAGAATGTTTTCATTTTTTTCTCAATTACATGTAAAAATAATTTCTAACATTCTTTTTAAAGTAATTTTTGAATTCCAAATTCCCTCTGTCCCTCCCCTGCCCTCCTTGAGAAGGCAAGCACTTTATACAGATTATATGTGTGCAGTCATGCAAAACATATTTCCATATTAGCCATGTTGCAAAAGAGACCATAGACCAAAAACAGAGAAAAAAACAAGAAAAAGAAAGTTTAAAAAAGTATACCTCCATCTGCATTCAGACTCCATCAGTTCTTTCTCTGAAAGTAGATAGCATTTTTCATCCTAAGTCCTTCAGAAGTGTCTTATATCAGTGTATTGCTGAGGAGAATAGCTAAGTCACTCTCAGTTGAGCATCATACAATAATGTCTGCACGTACTTACAATGTACCTGAGGATGGAGGCTTCCATTAATTTGCCTGGTCCTATTGAATTGAATTCGTCGAGGGCAGCCAGATGTTATTATCTCCCTACTTATCTTGATTTTCAGTTCTCACACAGCCATTTTTGTTCATCGATTCCCATTCCAAAGCTTTCTGTCCTCTGCAGAGCATCCTCATCCCGTGCACTCCAGAGAGGAAGCTAGGTTGTTCTTTCATCCTGCTATTTTTACTGATCTAGTTTGTTGGTAGCAACAATAACAGAACTGCTGCCATTTATATAGGGCTTCGGGGTTTGAGACGCACTTTATATACATTAGCTTAAAAACATCCCTTTTTATTGTTCGTAACATTCCTTGCTTACTGGGGTGTAAGATGTGTTCAGGGAAGACTAGCCCTCATCCACCTATCAGGTCAACCTGATTCACCCAATTCTCACCTGTAGCTCCAAGAAGCTATATTGTGTGCAGAGGCCATACCTTGGTAAACCGTTTCAGCAGACAGACTAAACCAGGTTGAAAGTAACCAATGGTTCTCAGGCCCTTCTGTGACTTGGGAGGGTGTCTACTCCAAGCCTGAAGACTTTCTCCAGCAGGTTGGGCAGAGGAGAGCAGTTTGTTCCAATGACCATGAAGGCAGCTGAAGCAGGCACTATGGAGCCCTTAGAACTTGGTTAGATATCAAAGATGCCAACGTCATCCACTGTATCCCAAGCCATCACCAGTCATCTCAACTTTTGTCTTGCCACTGGACTTCAATGACTGGAAGAGGGAGTGAGGCCAACAACTTTATGCAATTCTGCCGCACTTAAATCCAGTTTATGCACAAATCGAAAGACATCACCCATATCATTTTGCCATTTTTACCTACCTCAAAGTCCTGTGGTGACAGGCAGGTGACAAGGTAGCAGGTGTGGATACACTGGGAGCTGTAGTCACAAGCCTGCACACAGGCGGCCAAGGCCGTACAGTCATCTTCTCACTGGACTGAAGCAGCAGTGGAATTTGACAGCCTCCTGGGTGTCTGAGCTGCTATTTTGAAGAACTTCACAGCTCAGTTCCTGGCGTGAAGAGGGGGCTAGAAAAGGTGTCCTAAAATTGCTTCACCCAACCCTAGTCTGATTACCATGGCAGGTAGGGATCCCACCTTGAGATCAAAACACAAAAAATGTACAAAAACTTTTGCAAAGATGATTCCACTAACTGTCTATACATGGAATGTGTGCATGCTTATGGACAACATGAAATCCAGTAGACACGAAAGACAAACAGCTCTTGTGAGAGAACTCAGCAGGTATCACATCCAAATAGCAGCCATGAGTGAAACAAGCCTGGTAGATGAAGGCCAGCTTACTCAAGTTGGAGCTAGATACATGTTTTTCTGGAGTGGCTGCAATGAGGAGGAGCACCTTGAAGGTGGCATAAGTTTTACAATCAAAACTAATCTAGTCGACAAGCTTGTATGCCTCCCAAAAGAAGTGAATGACAGACTCATGCCAGTGTGATTGGCACATGCAGGAAAACACCATACCACCATCATCAGTGCATCTGCTCACACCACGAGAAACCCTGATGAAGTCAAAGAAAAATTTTATGAAGACCTGGAGACCTTCATCATCAGTGTGCCAAAAGAGGGCAAGCTTATTATTCTGGGTGACTTTAATTCAAGAGTAGGCACAGACTACCAGACATGGCAGGGAGTGCTTGGGAGGAATGCAGTCAGAAAACAGCAATAGTCACTTACTGTTGAAGACTTGTGCATTTTATGATCTTCTCTTCATCAGTCAAGTTTTCTCAGGGCAGCTAGGTCGTGCAGTGGATAGAACTCCAGCCTTGGAGTCAATAGGACTTGATTTCAAATATAGCCTCAGACACTTGACACTTACTAGCTATGTGACCCTGAGCAAGTCACTTAACCCCATTGCCTAGCCAAAAAGGAAAAAAAAGTGATGGGGAAATTCAGAAGCTGCTAAAAGAACTCCACAGGGCTTATCAGCTGGATAGCCTGTCCATCTCTAAGAAGGCAGTGTTTAACTCCATCAAGAGTAAAGTGCAAATGAAGCTCAGAAATGCCGGATTCTTCGCTCAGTAAGAAGACAGCTGAGATTCAGTTTTATGTTAATGGTAACAATCCAAAGAGCTTCTGTGTCCCCTCTGAAGGCTATTTATGGGCCAAAGACCTATGATTCATCTCAATTACTCGGTGCTGATGGAGCCACATTGATTAGTGATGAGGACATGACCCTCTGTTCCTCAGGAGACATCCCAGCCACCCCAGGGAAACCATAATTCAGTTGACATTTATCAGCCACCTTCTTTGTGCAGAACTTATTAGCAGTATGACCCTTGGAAAACCCTTTAATCTCTCTGTCTCCTTTTCTTCATTTGTAAAATGGGGATAAAACACCCGCATCACAGGATTGTTGTGAGGATCAAATAATATATGTGATAACATGCTTTTCAAACCCTAAGTGCTGCTATATAGGTATTAGCTATTATTTATAATTTTTTTCTTAAAAGGAGACTCAAAGCTTAGATAAGACAAAGCCCTGTCCTTATGGGGCATATAGTCTAGTAGCATTGTCCTATAGTAGTACTGTTGTGTGGTGTCCTAGATGCCATATGGTCAGTTGCTTCAAGCGCACTTAGGTTCTTTTTGGTGACGAGAGGGGAGAGGAAGAGGCAAGGTCCCTGGCCCATGATAGCTTCCTCCTCTCAAGCCTCCTCTCTCTGACCCCAGGTCGGGAATACGACAAAGATGGCAATCTTCGTCCCTGGTGGAAGAATTCCTCGGTGGAGGCGTTCAAGCAGCAAACTGAGTGCATGGTGGAGCAGTACGGCAACTATACAGTCAACGGAGAGGCCGTGAATGGCCGCCACACCCTGGGCGAGAACATCGCCGACAATGGGGGTCTCAAGGCAGCCTATAGGGTAAGAGCTGAGCGGAGGCTTAGCGGTGGTTTGGGTTGGTTTTTTTTCCTCTGACACAAGATGAGACCAGACATATTTTTCTGGGATGGTGTCCCTCACCGAACCAACATTCATTAAATATCTATTATGTCCCAAACACTATACCTGGTATTAAAGTAGGTACAAATTTAAATTGGGGGTAGGAGTTATTTGTTTTTAATTTAGTCATTTTCAGTTAACAAAAATTTATTTTCTTTCCCTCTCCTCCCCACCATTAGAACAAAACCAAAAAAAAAAAGGAAAAAACCTTGTAATAATTCTGCATAGCCAAGCAAAACAAATTCCCACACTGTCCATGTCCCAGAAGTCTATGTCTCATTCTGCATAGTGAGTCCATCACCTCTCTGTCAAGGAGGTGAGTAACATTCTTTATCATTGGTCCTCTAGAATTATGGTTGGTCATTTCATGGAGCAGAGTTCCTATGTCTTTCGCAGTTAATTGTCTTTGCAACATTGTGGTTATTTTATAGTTCTACATATATCTATACTCTATATATAGTATCTATATATCTGCGTATCCTGGTTCTGCTCACTTCGCCTTGCACCAGTTCACCCAAGTCTTCCCAGGTTCTGAAACTGCCCCCTTCATCATTTCTTACAACCCAATAGAATTCCATCACATCCATATACCACGACTCATTTAGCCATTCCCAACTTAATGGGCACTCACTCAGTTTCCGTTTCTTTGCCACCACCAGAAGAGTTGCTATAAATATTTTTGTGGATCCTTTTTCTTCTATTTCTTTGGGACACGGCAGCTTCTACCTTTTTGCAAAGTCTACTGGGAGGGATAAGATATTCACCCAGCAAACATAACTGGGTGCCTTCATTGTGCTAGGGCTAAGAAAAATCGATCATTCAGTCAATTTATTTGGAGGTGGGGGCTTTAACTTAATTTTTTTTTCAATTGACAACAATATATTTTCTTTCCCTCCCACATTCATTCCCTCCCATTGAGGGAGGGAGGGGAGAGAAAAAAACAACCCTTTGGTAATGGCATAATCAACCAAAACAAATTCTCACGTTGGCCATGTCCAAAATTGTATGTTGCTTGCTACATCCTGAGTCCATCAACTCAGGGAGCTTCATCATGGATCCTCTCTAATTGTGATTGGTCATAACTTAATCAGAGTTCTTAAATAGTTCAAATCAATAGGTATTTATTAACTGCCTACTATGGGACAGGCTGGACATTAGGGATGCAAATACAGGTATGGTCCCTGCCCTCACACAGTCTGTTCTTCAGTGGAGGGATAGACAATATACCATTGAGAACAAATGTAATACACAATATTAGGTGATTGATACATTGAAGAGGTACAGAACCATGTTCTAGGTCAGCCTTGCTGAAGAAGTTTATGAGAGACAGCTTTGTGTAGTGATGAGAGCACTGGGCTTGAGGTCAGGGAAACCTGGGTTCAAATCTTGCTTCTGACACCTACTAGCTGTGCAATCATGGGCAACTCTCTCTACCGTTCTGAAAAAGCCAGTCAGCAAGCATTGATTAAGCATCTGCCATATGTCAGACACTATTCCAAGTGCTAAAATTTCTAGGACAAAAATGGAACTGTCCCTGCCTGCCCTCAGGGAGCTTCCATTCTATCAGAAGCAGCACAGTATAGTCTGTACACTGTAGTGGACAGGATATTAGATTTGTTCTTTGTCTCTCATGAAGAGGACCATGACATCAGGGAGGTGATGCTGTGACGTGCAAGTGAATTGGATTTAAGTGAGGCAGGGCTGTGCAAAGTCACCAGCCTCACTTTCTCCTCCGGAGCCATCTGGGTCCAGTGGCCAGATATAGATCAGGGCGACTGGAGATAGCCCCTGGCCACTAGACTTGGAGTCATGAAAGACCTGGATTCCAGTGCCATCTCCAGCACCTGCTCACTGTTACAATCCTGGACAAGTCAGTTAACCTCTCTGCCTCAGGTTCTTCCTCTAGGGGATGGACTCAGTGGCTTTAAGATCTCATCCTGTTCTAAAGCTGTAATCCTACATACAGGTGGATAAGTAGAGGTAGAAGAAATAAGCAAAAATGAAATAAATCAATATCCTTGGTTTCTTCAGCTAAAAAAAGGCCATGATAATAATACCTGCAGTCCTTACCTCACGTGGCTGTTTTGAACATTAAGGGAGATAACACATGTAAAGTGCTTTAAAAGTCTGAAGGAGCTATGTAAAAATCAGCTCTTGTATATTGCCTACAGGAAAGATCAAGGAGGGCGCTTCATAGAGGAGGAGGGATTTGAATTGAGCTTTGAGGAGTGAGTAGGAATCCAGCAGGGCATGTTATGGGCAGGGGATGCACTTCTGGCTCAGGGAACTTGTGGGTAGAATTCCGGAGAATGTTTTTTGGGGGGGGACAGAAGAATCCAGTTTGACTGGAGCACAGTCCAGATTTGGTTTTTGTACTGACTCTGTGATTTCATTATAATCAGAGCCTCCTTCTGCTAATTAAGGTCAGCTCCTTTCCTGCAACTTTATAGGCTTAGAGAGCAGTGAGAGGTCAAGTGATTTGCCCAGGCCAAACAGCCCCTTATGTTCAAGGCAGAACTCGAATCCAGAGCTTCCTGACCCCAAGGCCTGCTTTCTACTTACCATGGCCCTCTGCCTCTCAGTGTACTAAATTGAGAGCAGTAATAGGAGGCAGGCCAGCCGGTGATGCTAAACGCAGTAGGTGCATTTTAATTCTTATAAGGGAAAACCTGATTTGACGGGCTAGAGCACAAAGGAGCAGGGGAAAGGAAAGAAGATTCCACAGTGGAAGTTTCTAGTATGGAAGACTGCAGATACTGAGGGTTCTGGAGGAGGGGCAGGGTGAGCAGCGTGGCCTTAATGAGCTCCAGAAAGACACAAATAAACAGGTGTGACAAACTAGTGCAGGCTGAGCAGTAAGTGTGGCATCCATCGGCCCCCTCTTCTGATAGCTGCCCGCCTCAGTGAGCAGGATTCTCCGTTTTCTCTGAACCCCTTTGAGTTGTCCGAGAAAGGCAGGAAAGTTGAGGAGCAGAAGATGGGGTTCCCAATGAGCACCCCCTTGTCATTCCCCCTCCTGACCAGCTCAGAAGTCACCACTAGAGACCCCCGGGGAGCTAAGAGATTTCCCTGGGTATTTCAGGTGGGTCTAATGAATAACCAGAAGAAGAGGCAGCAAAGGAGTGAAAGAGTAGGGGGAAAAAAGGAGAGAGCAAAGAAAGTGGGAGAAAGAGGAAGGAAAAAAAATCCTTCTAAGCTACGGGTCTAGCAGGGTCTCTCCTCTGCTTAGAATGTTCAGGACCTCCCTGTTGCCTGCAATATCCAATACAATGAAACATGCATTTTTGGATGGATTTCCTTTGATTGATTTCACTCATTTGTAATAAGAGAGAATTGATTTTTATTTATTTATTTTTGGTGAGGCAGTTGGGGTTAAGTGACTTGCCCAGAGTCACACAGCTAGTGAGTGTTGTGTCTGTGGTCAGATTTGAACTCTGGTCCTCCTGAGTCCAGGGCCAGTGCTCTATCCACTGCGCCACCTAGCTGCCCCAATTGTTTTTTTTTTAATTGGAGGAGGGGTGAGTTGTTAAGGCTGGTGGTAATAGTGCCCAAAAAAGAGCAAAAGGCAGAAAAAAAATCATTTAAAGAAGGGGAAGAAAAGGACAGAAGGAGGTTCAGAGGGAAACAGATCAGCAGGACAGCTTTCAAATTAACATGTTGGATTTATATCTTGTTAAAAGGAGACAAGCTAGACAGAAATTTGTGGTTTCACATACAGCCCTCTTTTTCTATTCTTCCTTGTATACAGAGATGTTCATGTTTGTTGGTATTTTTCAAACTCAGAATAACAAAGACTAAATTTTTTTTTAAGTCTAGAGCAGCAATATCAAAACTCAGATAAAAAGAGGGGCCACGGATCCCCGTGCATAATAAATTAGTTTTAAAATGTATTTTTATCTGTGTTTTCTTGTATTTTATTTTGTAAAATATTCCCAATTACTCTTTGATCTGGTTCAAGCTGCACGTGGGCGTGTGGTGGGCCACACTGGAGCCCACCAGAGGTGTTGATACCTCTGGTCTAGAAGTCCTGAATCAAGGTGTGAGTAGAGAGAAGGGAACACGTGTGAGGGATGGTGTGGAACTAACCCTTTAGCTGTAGGGAACGTGAGAGAAAGCGAGGAGGCCAGGGACGTTTTGGGATGTTACCCCTGTGCCCAGCACACAGTAGGCACTTGGTGCACGCGCCTCGTGGGCAGAGGTTATCGTTTTTTGTCTTTGCATACCCAGCCCTTGGCGCGTAGTAGGAGCTTCCTGGATGTTTGATGAATGAATGTGCGAATGAGCTCTCTTCTTCGCAGGCTGAGTGAGGCCCCCCAAAGAATCTGGGCCCAGTCACCTCTGTCAGCCTCTGAGTGCCATGCCTCGGCTCACTGTCCTCCAGGACCACTAAGATTTCTTCTCTGCCCTTCGCAGGCCTATCAGAACTGGGTACGGAAGAATGGGGAGGAGGAGACGCTGCCCACCCTAGGCCTCACCAACAACCAGCTCTTCTTCCTCGGCTTTGCTCAGGTGGGTTCTCTGGTCTGTCTTCTTGAGCAAGTGCCTGCCAAGCACAATCAGGGCAACCCCTGAGATCTGGTGGAGGGAGAGTGAGTAGAGCAGAAGCCATGAGAAACCATGGAAGACATTTACAGAGCTGAACTTGGAGTCAGGAAGGCCCAAGTTCAGATTCTTCCTCAGACACTCACAACCTGTGCCGCCAGAGACAAGTCACTCAACCTCTGTCCACCTCAGTTTACTCATCTATAAAATGGGCATAAAACAGCACCAACCTCCCAGGGTGCCTGTGAGGATCAGACAAGATGATGTTTGCAAACCCCTTTGCAAACCTTAATTAAAGTGCTATTATAGCTCCAGAGCAGACTGCCGGGTAGACCGGACTGCACCCAGAGCCACCGTCACAGTCTGCTTGTGTGACCTCGGGAAAGTCTTTCCACGGCTCTCTGCATCAGCCTCCGCATATGTATAGTTAAGGTTTGCAGAGTGCTTTACAATTATTATCTCCTTGAGCCTCACAACAACCCTGGGAGGTAGGGGCTGTTATTATCCCCATTTTACAGATGAGGGAACTGAGGCAGAGAGAGGGGCTGGATCACATCACTTCCGAGGTCCCTTCCAGCTCTAAAACTGTGAGGATATTGGTGTTCCCAGACCACCGTGCCTGGTGGAGACCTGGGAATGCAGTAGGGAGTCTGAGTGGGTTTTATTCCCCCTGTGGTCCCAAAGAAGAAAGAGGATATAGACAGGTGGGGATGGCAGACCCCATCCTCCCCCCTTGTCCTTCTCCCACACATCAAACACTTCTCCTGGGTTCCCTTCTCCCTGGAAGTCTTTCAAGGGCTAGAAGGACCACCCTGGAAAAAGACAATGTGGCATAATGGATATAGCATTGAAAGAGGAGGTCAAGATCTGGATTCAGATCCTGCTTTAGACACATCTATTAGCTGCATGACAGTAGGCAAGTCATTTAAATTCTGCCAGCCTCAGTTTCTATATCTGTAAAATGAAGATACTAATAGCACCCACCCCACTAGGTTTTTGTAAGGATCAAATGGGATTTTTTTTAAAGTGCTTTGTAAAACCTTAAAGAGCTATATAAATCATTATTATTATTATTATTATTATTATTATTATTATTATTATTATTATTATTGGATCTTAGAGCTAAAAAAGGACTTTACAGGGGCAGCTAGGTGGGGCAGTAGATAGAGCACTGGCCCTGGATTCAGGAGGACCTGAGTTCAAATCCAGCCTCAGAGACATAACACTTACTAGCTGTGTGACCTGGGCAAGTCACTTAACCCCTATTGCCAAAAAAAAAAAAAGACTTTACAAGCCACATTCATTTAATTACCTCCTTTTTTACAGATGAGGAAACTGAGGTCCCAAGAAGTTAAGCAGCTCGCTCAACATTACTTGGTTAATAAAAGGCAGAGCTGGGATTTGAACCCAGGACACATAATTCTAGATGCTCCAATCTTGCTACTATATCATACTACCTCTCCTCTTCTTGAAACTCCAGAGCAGGAAAAGAAGGCATACTGTCCTGACTCTGTCCACATCTCCAATCACCTTGACCTCTCCACCTTGTTCCCTCTAATGCAGGTCTGGTGCTCAGTCCGCACCCCTGAGAGCTCCCACGAAGGCCTCATCACAGATCCCCACAGCCCCTCTCGCTTCCGGGTCATCGGCACTGTCTCCAACTCTAAGGAGTTCTCAGAACACTTCCAGTGCGCCCCTGGCTCCCCTATGAACCCCCATCGGAAGTGTGAAGTCTGGTAGAGGTGAATCCAGGTGGCAGGAGACAGATGGGGAGTTATGGGAAGGACAGGCAGGACAAAGACCCTGGGGGGGAGGGGAGGGCCAGAGGGAGGGAATGGAACAGCTCGCCCCATCTGTCCAGTATCGAGGGCATTGCCCTGGCCCTCCTCCTTGCCCAAGCACCCTCCCTCCCCACCTTCGAAGAGCTCTCCATGGAAAGGGGTCCCAAACCATGGGCTTTTGGTGCCAACCAGAGATTGGATCCACTGTGAAAACCCCTATAATCGCAAATCACTTGTGAGTCAACTCTTAAAAGGGCCATGACAGGTGTTTGTGTGTCTGTCCGGCCTCTTGGAGACAAGGGCAAGGAATTGGCATCCTTGTCAGTCACTTGTCCCACCTGTGCTGGGTGACGGATACACCCACAAACACCACAGTGTTAAGTGCTTTAAAAATCTCTATTTTGGGGAAATTCATTTTGGAACATTGTGGAATACACTGGAAACCTTCAGGGAAAAATGCATTTAAAACACTTTTTTTTTTTAAAGAAAGGATTGGTATATTTATTATGTTTTTTTAAATAACCTGTGGACAAGGGAAGCCCCACAGTGCCAACTCTTTTCCAGCCCCCTCCACTGGCTGCTGAGTTGAGGCAGGGGCTGGTAGTGCTGAGCTGAGACCATGATTCCCCCGGTTCAAGCCTCTGGGGGCCAGAGGGGCATCCTGAGGCTTTCAGAGTAACTGTAAGATTTCCTTTTTGGGTCTCCCCAGGAGTCCCATTAAGTAGAGATGAGGGTAGGAGATCAGGAGGAGAGATTCAAGATGGCAAAATCAGTCTCTGGCACTGTCCCTCCCTCCCTTTCCTTGGCACCTAAATCCTAAAGCCCCTACCCTGTGTTCAGCCAGTGAGAGCCCTCAGCCACTGAGCAAGGGTCCTGCTTTCCCAGGAGGGGATGGGAATAGGGAAAATAATCCCATCCACCTGTGGTCTATTTCTAAAGGGAATTTATAGTAGGAGGAGAGGCTGGGGAGTGGGATTACTTAGGTCCTCTGCATCTTGCCAGCAGAAACCACAAACCTCCCTGCCCCATAAAAAAGGGATGACTGTAGCTTCAGAGCCTGGGCCTCCTAAGGCTTTAGTGCCCTTGTTTTCTTCCTCTTTGTTGTGTGATTGATACATAGCATTGCTGACTCCTGCCCTCAGCCCTTCCAAGCTCCAGGCATTTCAGCATCCATCACTCTGGTCAGGCCCATGCCAAGCCCAGCTAGAGTTGGGTCCCCTGGCTGTGCTGACAGACTGCCTAGGATCCTGTTAGAGAAAGTAGGGGGTCAGAAAACTCCTCTTGGCTGAAACATCCTAGCGTCCATCCTCTTTGCCCTTGGCTGACCCTAAGCTATCCGTGGGGCCCAGATGACCTCTTGGGTGCTATAGGCCTCTGGACTCCTCTTCCCCACGCCACTAAGGCCTCTGGGGTTTGTGGTTCCTGCCTCTAAGGAAGGCTGGAGTGGTTCTCCACCCTCACCCCCTACCCGCCATGACCTTAGTACCATCTCAGCCCAGGCCTTCAGTCCTCTAGTGCCTTATCTAGGGCTCTGCCCTAAGGAGAACCTCTTTTTTCCACAAAGAATTTCCACCAAGTGTCTGACTGGCTTTCAAGGCCAACCCACCCGTGTGTACACACACACACACACACACACACACACACACACACACACACTCTCTCACACAATCACTCTAACACACACACACACACACACCTCTCCCTCTGCGTTTGGACCAATAACCTGAGAGTCCACTGAGACCACACCCCAGGTTAACCAAGAGGCTCAAAGCTAGAACCAGCTAAAGTCTGAGGCCCCAGAAAAGCCCACCAGCCCTGAAGAAAGCACAGAACGGCCTGCACTATCTGCTGGGTTTCCCCATGTGGTCAAACAGTAGCTTCTTCTGCCCTGAGCTGAGGTGGTCAGGAGTTTCAGGGTGAAGGGCAACCTGCCCTGACCCCTCAGGTGGTCAGTCTCCTGGCCGCCCCGCCAAGCTGGGCAAAAATCTGTGGCCCCAGGGGTTGGGACTCTCCAGGGACCTGGTCATTTCTGCAGGACTTTGGGGTCTGCTAGGGAGGAGGAAAGAAGGCAGGAAGGATTTTTAAGGCAGAAGCCCAACCTAGCTGACATAGACCCAGTTCTAATAAAGTCTTCTCCCTTTCTAAAAAACACAAACCCCAGCCAGCCAATGTGACCAACCCAAGGGTTGCACATGTCCATCTGTCTTGGGGTGATCGTATCTGCTGTGTGCCCTTTGGTGACTGCTGCCTCCTTCTCTTCTTGTGCTTACCTTCCCACCCCTTCTTTCCTTCCTTTTCCTGTCTCTCCATGGATTTCCCCCCTTCCCCATTTCCTTCCCCCTTTTCCTCTTTTCTTTCCCTTCTCCTTTCCTTTCCCCTTCCTCCCTCTCCCCTTCTCCCCTCCCCCCATCTCCCTCCTTCTTTCCTCCCCTCCCCTTTCCTCCTTCTCCCCTCCTCCCCTCCCCCTTCTCCCCCCTTTCTCCCCTCATCCATTTGTCTCGGTTCTCAGGAGTTTCAGGGTGAAGGGCAACCTGGTATTCCAGCTGGAAGTGATCGGGGCTGGGTAATCCTTCAGAGGAATGTGGAAGGGCCTGATTGTTTCCACATGTGGTGTGGGGCTGGGGGAGGGGGCAAGGCAAAGAAAGAACTGGAAGGGAAAGACCAGGAGCCTGCGACCACCCCCCCCTTCCCAGCAGCCCCTCAGAGCACGTAGCCAGAGGCCAGGGCTGCTGGGGTGGGAGCCTGTGGGGGGCTCTGGCCGGCTTGTCAGCCTGCTTACCAGGTGTGTGCATGGATGTGGGAACTGGGGGAAGGGGATTTCATTTTTATTTTTATTTTTTGTGCTACTGTAGTTTTCATTGTGGCACTTTTGTTATTGAAATAAAGGACTTCTACCTAAGGGTCACATGTGTCTGTGTCTGAGGGCAGCCAAGAGGTCAGAGGGCATGGGAGTCAGGGGAGGAGGAACAGCAAGAGGCCAGCGTCTGGGGAGGCCTCCGTTTCCACATTGAGAAAATGAGCGCTGGATCAGATGGTCTGTAAGACTCTTTTCAACTCTTGACATTCCAGGTTCTCAGGGCCCTCCCAGCTCTGACAGCCTGTGTCCTCAGGGCCCCCCAGCTCTGACAGCCTGTGTTCTCAGGGCCCCCCCACCTCTGACAGCCTGTGTCCCAAGGGCCCCCCCACCTCTGACAGCCTGTGTCCCAAGGCCCCCCCCAGCTCTGACAGCCTGTGTCCCAAGGGCCCCCCCAGCTCTGACAACCTGTGTCCCAAGGGCCCCCCCAACTCTGACAGCCTGTGTCCCAAGGGCCCTCCCAGCTCTGACATTCCATGCTATGAGGTCTATTCCAGAGCTACTCTTTTGTGATTCAGTGGGACTCTGGATTATGTACCAGCCTGGCCCAGGCCGGCTCTTTTAGGGAAGGTTGCATATGGGCATGCGAAGCAGAAGCTGAGGAATGGGGGGGTGCTGGGAGGTGCCAGGTCCATCTTGGTTACCTGGATATCTGGCCTTCCTCCCTTCCTTTCCCTTCCCCACCCCCTCACCCACAAAATGATGCTGCTTGAGCTCCCCCTGCTGGCTACGTTGCAGTATTTCCCTGCTATCAGCAAAGTGAAATACAATGAGTGATTTCTTCATTCTTGGGGGGTGGATGACCTAGGTGCCCTGGCAGGACCTATCAACTTGGAAAAGCTTTGGGCAGGCCCTGTGATGAATCATGAGTCTGCTGAGGCAGCTAGGTGGTGAAATGGACAGAATGCTGGACCTGGAAGACAGAAAGAGCCGAGTTCAAATTCATCAGCTGTGTGAGGTGGGTCATTTCACCTTTGCCTCACTTCCCTCAACTGTAGAATGGGAATAATCATAGACTTACCTTGCAAGCTTCTTGTGGGGATCAAATGAGATTATGAAGCATTTAGCACAGTACCTGGCACATAATGGATGCTTAATAAATGCTTATTCCCTCCTTCCTTCCCTGTTATCCAAGGACAGCCTAAGCGGGCTGTTCACCAGGCCAGAACAATTCATGAAGGTTATCCAGTAAGGAATGGGTGTGTGGTTGCCCCCTGCTTTGGTAAGGAGAGTAGCCACACAGATGAACGTTCTCAGCACCACCTCAGAGGGCGTCTGGTCCATCCTTCCTGTGAAGTTAGACTCTTCTCCATCATAACTGATAAATGGGGCCTCCCCTGGAAAACATCCTAGGACCTCCCAAGGCATCGCCCCTTGGGGAGGGAAAGTGGGCTCAGGATTCAAATCTCACCTTTTCCACTTACTAGTTGTGTGGCCATGTCAAGTCACTGAACCTCCTTGGGGCCTAGCAAATAAAAGGATTGATGAGATAGCCCCTGAGATCCCTTTAGCTCTAGCTCTGTTTCTGAGATAGTTCTCTCTCCATCAGTCCTTTACCTACAACTAACCTCAGGGTCTGAGGCATCTTTGTTCAATAGATCTATACCTGGATTTGAACTCAGAAGGCCTAGGTTCAAATCCCAGCTCCAATGCCTGCTGACAAGTGTGGCCAGGGAGGGGCAAATCACTTTCCCTTTCAACTTAGTAAAATGTGAAAACAAAACCCTACCTGTAATGTTGACAAAGAATTTGAACTTTATACCTGGATGGCCTATGAAATACTGGAGAAATGGGAGCTAACATTATGGTTGTTACATAAAGAAATGGGAATTGGGAAGAATGATCCTAGGATTTTGGACTATCCCTTAAAAGGGGTCAGTGTAGCAGAATAGAAACTGGGCCTTGATGAGTTAGGTCTTCATTTCACAGGGATTGAAATTACAAGTCTGCAGTGGGAAAGTGACTTCCTCAAGGTTACCCAGCCACTGAGTGATATCTCTGGGATTCAAACCCTGTGTTTCTTGACTCTTGAGCCAGATATCTTCTCATAGCACACCTCGCTGACTATTTTATAACTGCTAAAACTTGGGTCAGTTCAGCACCTCCAGAATGGAGCTGCTGCCCCATCCATCCCCTCTTGCTGCCGTTTGTGTGGCTGGGACATGTGTCCAGGTGCGTCTTCCTTAGCTATCATCTTCTGCCCCCCACACCCTTGAGAGTTCTCAAATGCCTACCAAATAAAGCCTGAGGTTCAGAGAAGCTTCCCCTCCATGAAAGGATGCCACTCAACTTTTCCCATTTTATTTCTTCCTCTTCCCCACCAAATAATCTATGCTCCAGCCAAATTGAATAGTCCATTTCAACAAACATTTAAACTACCTTTTGTGTACTAGGCACTAAAGGAGATACATGGTTTGGGTAATATAGTCACTCTCTCGGAGCTCATTATTTAGCAAGCATATAAGACATGCAAGTATTACATGATAAGCTAATAAAGTGCTACGGAAGACCCGGTGAACCAGAGCATTATCTCAGAGGCAAAGAGTTTGGCCCGCTTAACATGACTCAATCCGGGTCTAGATTTTCCCATCTCTGTGTCTTTACTCAGCCTGTACCCCAGTCCAGGTGTGCCCCCCCTTTCCCTTAAGTCCTAGGGTGAATTCCTGCCCATTCTTGGAGGCAATGAGGGACAGTGGAAGGAGTCCTGGATTGGAGGCAAAGGGTTTGGGTTTGAAGCATCCCTGTACCACCGATATGAGCAAAGATCTGGATTAGACCAGTGATTTTACTGACAAAGGGAACTGTCAGAAACCAATGTAGGTCAGCACCTTCTGTGCCATGGGTAGTTTTAGAGAGTTTCATAAAGCGCTGAGATATTGAAGACTTGACCAGAGTTGTATAGATAGTATGAGTCAACTCCAGGAAGCCTTTTTTGATTCTCCCAGCAAAGAAATGATCTTTCCATCCTTAAACTTTGAGTGGGCCTCTGAAAGCATCTTTCCTGTGCATTTTTTCCTTCAAGACAAAAAAAAAAAAGACCTATAGCTCCATCAGCTTCAAGAGTTACTGTGGCTAACATGACACCAGCTGGCATTCAAGCCTCTGCTGGTGAGCCTTGGGGATTTTTTTTTTCTGTCTTGGTGCCTTAGCCCCAGCTGGACTGTAAGCTCCTTGAGGGCAGGGCCTGGGTTTTCTTTAAATTTCATATTTCTCCCAACATCCAGTATGTTGGCCTTTCACTCTGTGCAGGCTTGACGAATGTGTTGAAATGAGTTGAATTGTAGAGCTATCATCACCATTGGCCACTGTGGCCTTCTGCCCCATCCTTCGTGATGAAGTAGGGACCCCACAGTATTCAAGGAGAAGAGAGAATTCTCCCATGTGGTCCTGCAATCCCTACCTTCCCCTTCCGGTTTTTTTGTTTTGTTTTGGGGCTTTTTGGCTAGGCAGTGGGGTTAAGTGACTTGCCCAGGGTCGCACAGCTATTAAGTATCAAGTGACTGAGGCCAGATTTGAACTTAGGTCCTCCTGACTCCAGGGCCAGTGCTGTATCCACTGGGCTACTTAGTTGCCCATTCCACTTCCATTTTTTAAGAAATGTTGAAATGGAGCCAGAAGCAGGTTTGAATCCTAGCTCTGCCATTTACGCTGTGTGACCTGGGACAAGTCATTGCACTTTTCTGGGCTTCAGTTTTCACATGTCTAAAAGGAGTGGGTTGAGCTGACTAACTTCCAAGGCCCTTTCTTCTCTAGAGCCTGGGCTGCTCTGATCTGGTCTCTCTTCACCACCCCTCCCCCTCCTGCCAAGTTTTCCTTAGTTCTGCCTCTAGTTAAGGCACAATGTGGAATGATTTAGTAAATTGGGAAAATGGAATCATTTTCCCCCAGGCAGCCAGCCCTGAGCTCTCTCTGAAGTTACAGGGCCTGTTTTCTTTGCAGCAGGGCAGCTGGGAACCCCACCTCTCCTGGGCCAGAAAGACTTCCACCAAGCTGGCCAAGGCCAAGCTATTAGCCCTCCCCCTACCAAGTCCCCAGAAATTAAGTGACCTAACTAAGGTCACACGGGGGCCATCTCTGTAAGACCTTGCCTGGAAGTGGTCCAGTGCAATATGTGGTAAACCATCTTCTCCATCCCAACAAGTTTCCCCTCCCTTCTTCCTCAGGAGGACAGAGGAGATGGCACTGCTCACAGCAAGGCCTTTGTCTCCAGGCAAAGTCGGGGAAAAGCCCTTTGTTAAGGAACCCCAGGTGATAGGAGAGAGACAGTGTCACTTAGCCAGCTGCTGGGAGCAGAGATCTCCCTTCTGACCCAGAGCCCCACCTGGCCTTTAGCTCTGGTACCTAGTCGGCCTCTGTGGCCATCTCACATGTCCAGTGCAAGACTGCCCTGGGAAGGGAAGCCCAGAG